AAGCACAGAGATGAGTCCACTGTCAGAGGCCATAAGAAGATCATTTGTAACCTTCACTAAAGCTGTTTCTGTGCTGTGATGAACTCTGAAACGTTGGTGTTTATTTGCTGGTTTGTTGGTAGTGGCTCCTGAAAAGCAAGTCTACCACACATCTGTTTGACCAACGCCACTTGATCTGGAACACCAGCAGCCAAGTTTGAGTCTGATTTAAAACGATGTTTCACGTGTTTCTGTAGCGAAGAACAATCAGAAGCATTTCATACGTCACAAAGACTTTTATTAGAAATAAATCAGAGTATTTACAGTGTTCACACTTCTTCATCATAAGTTCTGCTGGACGGCCCGAATCCTGCCTGATGGAGATCCAAGGTGAACCCGCTGGAAACAGCAGAGGACGGCGAGGTCTCACAGCAGCTGGTGGCAAACCCAAGCCAACCTCATCCCCACGTCAGTTATTACTACACCCAAACACACAGCCTGCAGGGCTACACCTTCACATGTAGGTATGTTGTAATCCAGTTACTGAACACGTAATTAAACTGGGCTACGAAGACCCAGACTGTCTCAGTACAGCCCAGCATCGGGTCACCTGGTTCCTACGAGCAGGAACAGCAGAGGCTTCGGTTAACCTCCCACCATTAAAACCATTAAAAAAACCAGTAGAAAGCAAAACATTTACATTGACATGAATAAACTATTAAAGTATAAACAGCAGCCTGTGACAGTGGGAACAGCTTCAGGGTCCACGCTCTCACTTCAGTTTGAGCAGCGTGACACCTGGGTCTGCTTCACCTGTTCTTGCTCGTCTTCATCACTTCACTGCTGCAGAGTTCACAGCTCTAAAACCTCACAGTCAGAGGCCGATTCTCAGAGTCTTTAAAGTGCATCCCACCTCCTCCTGCTCCTCCTAGCCCCCATCCTGTGAGGTATCAGGCTGTGTGCTGCACACCTCCTCCTCAGCCCTGTCTGCTATGATGCTGACGTGGTCGCACTGCTCAGAGGACAGCGAGACTGGGTAGATGGAGTTGGGATCATTCAGCAGCAGAGACTGAGGGGGCGGGGCAGAAAGGTCAGTGTTAGATTAAAGAACACACTCACACACATATTCACACACACACACACACACCTCTTTAAAGTGTGGCGGCAGCACGACTTCTGGGCACAGGAACTTGGAGATTTGTTTCCAGTAGACCACCAGAGTCACCACCAGAGCCACCACCGTGGCCATGACCACAAACGCCACCACGGCCGCCACCCACGGAGCTGCATCCACTGTAAGAAAACCACACGGCAGCAGGTGAGCCCATCAGCGACACCTTCAGCGATTGTGA